CAGCCGACCAGCGGCGACCAGCGGTGACCACAGCCGACAACGCAACCGCCAGAGCCTCTAACGGAGCGAGATCTCGCTGCAGCCGACCAGCGGCGACCAGCGGCGACCACGGCCGACAACGCAACCGCCAGAGCCTCTAACGGAGCGAGATCTATTGCACTTTACACTAAGACAGCGCCGCAGCCGACCAGCGGCGACCAGTGGCGATCACAGCCGACAACGCAAGCGCCCAGAGCCTCTAACGGAGCGAGACCTGATAGATCACTTGAGTCTACATTTACTCTTCTAAGGATTTAGTCCGGGGACTAAAGAGTAAATGATCATTTAGTCCGGATCCCGACTAAATTCTCGGAGAGTAAATGATCATTTAGTCCAGGCTACAACTGTGCAATTTGCACTCTCCAGAGTGCAAATTGCACAGTTGGTTTTTGGAGCTCAAACTTGAACAGTGCAAATTGCACAGTTCAGAGTGCAGTTTGCACAGTTGGGTTTTTGTGTTGTAGTTGTTTGTTGCTTTTTGGTTGCGTTGTTTTGTTGTGGGGGTTGTTGTGTTTGTGGTGTTTGGGTGTTTTCTTGGTTGCTTTGCGTGGCTTGTTTGTTTGCTTTTTTTGATTTGCTCGGTGATGTTTGTTGTGTTTTGTTGGCTTGCTGGTTTTTCAGATCGTATGTGTTTTGTGCTTTTGTGTGTTTGTTTGATTGTTTTTGTTTTATTTCCTTCTGTCTGCGCGCCTTTCTTTACTTTCTTCTCTTGTCTTTGCTTTTCTTGCTTTTTTCATTCCTTTTTCTGTCCTTTTGTCCTTTTCCTTTCCTTTCCCTTTGCTATTCCTTTCCCTTTACGTTTTCCTTATCCTTTCCTTTCGCTTATCCTTATCCGTCTATTTGCACCCTTTCTTGCTGTTGTACCATTTTTTCCTTCCTTGCCCTTTCCTTCCTTCCTTTTTCAATTTCTTTCCTGTTGTTCTTTCTTTGTCTTTCTGCCGTTCCTCCTTTCTTCCTTTTCCTTTTCGCGTCTTACGTTCTTCTTCCTTCCTTGCTTTTGCTTGCTTCCTTTGTTTCTTTTTCCATTTCTTTTCCTTTCTGTCGCTGCTCCTTTCTTCCTTTGTTCCTTTCTCACTTCTTTCCACTTTCTTTTTGCGTCTATAATGTTCTCTTTTTCTTGTTGCTTTAGTACTTTTTTTGCGTTTCTGTCTTCTGTTCCTTTTTTGTTTTCTTTGTTTATTTGGTTTCGTGTTTTCCTTTGCTTCTTTTGTTTTTGCGGTGCAAAAGAACGACCACGCAGTGAAAGAAACACACAAAACAACTTCATGTCGCAGCATCGTTCTTGCCTGAATCGTTCTTGCCTGAAACGTTCTTGCTTGAAATGTTCTTTCGCTATAGGCCCTATAGAGTCAATCATTGCAGGGGCCAAAGGTTTCAAAGAACTAGTGAACCTGCGCGTTACAACTGCGAGCTGTGAAACGTTTGCTTTTGATGGAGCTTTTGGTCCCGACCTTTTGTTTCACAGTTTCACAAAACGACTACAACATCAAGGAAAAAGTTCTGGCTGCTCTTGCTGCTATGTGTGCAGCTCTACTTGCGATGGCATCTCAGCTCTACTTGTGATGGCATCAGGTCTTGCGTGTTGTGTCTTGTTGACATAGAACGAAAGCATTCAAGGCATTGCGTGGCAGTTCGCATTGCAGTGTCCAGCATGCATTTCTGGCTGTTGAGGCTTTTGGTCTTGCATGTTTTTAGTTGATATAGGTTCTTGCAACTTGTGGAACTTTGAAAGCGTTTCAAGTTCAAGTCACAAGTGTCTTGGTCTAGTCTGGTGCCCCGCGCCAAGTATGTCCAATCTAGAT